GTAATCCACATGTTTTGTTACATGTAACATGCATGTTTTGTTCATTTTTGTATCCTTACAGATCTTAATGATGCTGTGAACTTGATAAATATTTAATTGGATCCTCCAAACATAAAATTTTAAGTGGTCATCTTAAACATAGCAAGGCTTGAATTTAAAGTAATATACCAAATCAAACAGTGGCCAGATGGCCATTTAAAAAATTACAAACTCATATAATGCTTCCATTCTACAGAGACTCATCAGTCATTGAATGTTATTATGGATGAGTCTTTGAATGGAATTTTGCCCGCATCTTCTACCCCTCAAGTAAGTGTTTAGCTGTACCATTCCAAATCAATGAGAATCTATTTGGCTACAGAACTGCAGGGAAATAAGGCACAGTCCTCCTCAGTAAACCCTGACACTGATAATATTACCATGTGTGAAACTGCTATGAATGAATGTATTGACTAGTTGACAATATGTCAAAGGGAGAATTTAATCTTAAGTGTACCATTTTCACAATGCAACAAACTTTGAAGTTACTATCAAAAGTCGGAAGTCTTTAGGGTATGTTAAAAATTCAGTCAAAACTTTAAAATTTTAATAGGAATAGCACAAGCCTTGCTCTATAGATTGTTTGAAGGTTGCTATTACAATGCCTGAAAATCAAATATAGTGTAGAAAAATTAAAGTCTGGTGAAGGTCCATTAATTATAATGCAATGCTTCAACCAAACAACAGCTTGGCTTTAAATCAATACCCAATTAAATACTTCCTGCAGCTCTAGTCATTAATTGCTCTGCAGCTTAAAAAATAATATTCTAACTACTTATAGAAAGGTAACCAAAATTAGCATGTGAAACTTAAATTTGGTTCTTTCCTCAAGAAGGAAAATGAACTTTTTCAGTGACCTGTGGTCCATGCATTTCAAATCCACTCAAATTTGTTGAAAATGGAATATAATAACAAGTAATAGGTGTTTGGTTGTAGGATAATAGTATGCAAGATAAGGCATTTCAATCTTCATGAAAGTATCATCATTGAAAAAAATAATTATTTCTTTAATATGTCCTTAGTTGGGGACATACAGAATTCTTGCTGCCTATACAATATTATTATAGACGGGAAATGTTTAAAATGTAACATCTTCTAGCTGTTGCTGGCAAGGGAACATTTATGGTTATAAAGGAAATGCTGCCTTGCTCTGGAATGAGGAATCGCTCTTCAGCTGAACTCTAAGCACAAAGTGACTCATCCTGCCAAAGGTGATTTACAATGACCCTCCTACTGATGCATCATCCAGAATGCTGGTTTTACAGCAGGACAAATACAGAAGCAGAGGAGGAAAATGTTAAATTAAGGATGCTTACGTGATAAGGAGAGTTGCAGAACCTACGAGAATCACAGAAATCATCAGGATATCTAAAAAGCAAGGATAAGAGAACATAATTGAGATGAACAGCACAAATAGAAACATCATGCAGGCAGGAAGGTAGCATTGAGTTGCAAATGTGATAACTAGGAATTTAGCATGTTTTTGCAGTGAAGTTATGTCTCATCCTTACACAGCTTGTGGAAAAAAACTATGGAAACAAGAAAAGAAACTGCAGAGCAGAGACAATGCATGTGAAAGAGGAGAAGCACCCCAGAAGAGGACCCCTTTCCTTTTCTGTCCTTCACATATACAAGTCTTAGTGTAGAGGGCTTAGAAGTATGTGTTGTGCAATGTTTGTAAAACTTTTATTTACAGAAGGTTTGAAATTATCCGTTATGATTCAGATGTGCAGATATGCAATTTTCCATATTTCTCCCTACTGCATTCAACTTATTCTCTAAGCCTTCTTTTGAAAATGTAATGCAGGCTTCTCTAGGTAACTCAGTCACAACTGATTGGAAAAGATCTCGAGGTAATTATTTTGTTAATAGAGATACAAAACTCAGACAAGTCCTTTTCCAAACTCTGTAGCAACAGTACATACACACGTTTCTCATATGTTTGGCTCTTGCCTTACTCCTCCATGAGAAAGCTTTTGAGAGTGAAAAATTGCTAGCAGAGTATCACAACAGAGGCCGCACAGGAATGTATTTTACAAGAGCTCTCCTCAGGTTTGAATGGACTGTATTACTGTTCCCATGAGTCTTTTGTGGCCACCTTGGTTCTTTATGTATCCACATCTAATGTAAAGCGGTCCCATCTTGCCTTTGCACACCTACAAGCATCCTTGCTGGTACCAAAAGCCCCTAGCATAGCCTTGATATCTACACATTGTATTTGCTCATCTCAACCCTAGGTCTCCTATGATTTACCAGCCTTCTTTGCAAATCCACATGCTCCATTAAGGCATGAAGCAATTTCTTGATTTTCTTTATACCAGGTCTTTCAGAACTCTGAGATATAGTGGAAGACACTATCTCAAGCCCTCTTTCTGCCTGAAAAATCCAAAACCTTTGGATAAAACCCTTTGGGCATCCCATTTAGAGAGCATTATGAAGCTTTGCCTCCCGCAACAGAACAGAGAACATGTCCCTTCTCCCTGAAATTACCAAAGATATGGAAGTGAGTTTCTCACTGAAGCCTGAATGTGTTTCTTTCTTTCTTGTTCCAATGCTTTCCTCTAGCTGAGCAAAGCTTTTATCTAATCCCTGTTTGGCAGGAAATTGTCCCGAAGCTATCCTTCCTATTTTATAGTTTATAGTAAAAATGTCATGTTCAATTCTCTATACTTTTGTTCTTGATGTTTAAAGGGAAAAATCTGGAATTTAGAAAACTGTTTTCAAGTGTTTGTCCTTTGCTACTGAAAGTCCATATTTTAATAATATAATCTCAGAAATGGACTTCAAGAGCCTATTTTAAAGGGTGAGGGGTTGACTTTGACTCTTGTGTTCTCTTTGCATTTCAGCTATAACAATCCTAATGTGGTACTGTGCTGCTTGGAAATAGTCTGCAACTGCTTAGACATCTTGCTAAGTAGTTCTCTGTATTATTCATTTTATACTCACAACATTGAACAAATGAGGATACCGAGGTACAGGGAGATTAAGTAACGCATGCAGGACCACCCAGTTAGTGATGAAACCAGACAACGAAGCTGGGAAACTTGCATCCAGAGCCTACACTCTGCTATGCTACACCACTTAAGGCAATCTGTGCTGATCCGGAAGGGGAAGATTCATATACGAAGAAGCGAAAAACAGAAATTCCATTTCAAAATGCCTAATTATGTGTGTGTGTGTGTGTGTGTGTGTGTGTGTGTATATATATATTTTTTATATATTTATTAGTGCCTAATTTAATGTGTAGTAAACTATACAGTTCCAATTCTGATTAGGATCTCAACCATTCACAACAAATCTTTTAGTCATACTTGGAAAATCCTGGATTAAAGGCCTTTCTGATACCATCATCTCTTATTTCTGGGTGTGGGGAACTTAGCCACAAGAGTGCACGGAAATGCACAAAACTAGGGAGGCACATCCTGTTCCGTAATGCTGTGTCCACCCAGTATATTTCCCTCTTGGTGCATTCCATCTTTCACTGGAGCTAATATTCTTATAAGTTAAGCTTTTCTCCTATGCCTGAAATTCTGTTTTTACTTTCACGTGGATGATTTCTCTTTGTAATTATGTGAGCAACTTATAAGCATGCTTAATGAATCACATCTTGATTCCTTGCAACTCATTGGAGAAATATGTTATCATAGTTCAAACATAATCAGGAAATGTCATACCTATTAATGCATTCATTGTGACAAGTCAAGAAAATATTACAATGTTTAACTTGGAATCCAGTAAACAATATAAGAAGAAGAGATTTTCTAAAGTATAATTACAATTTTTTCTCTGTATGTGCCAAAAAAAGAGTTGTCAGGAGAAAGAAAATGTACTGGCTTATCATGTGATTCTTATCTTTATTTCAGTCATGTTATTACTTATACACCACCCATTAATTCCCAAGAAGACTTAGTGTACTTTAATATATCAAGTTATGAAATACAAATTTATATTTCTTTCTTGATTTATATTCTTATTTTGATTTAAGATATCCTTTATCATGCAGCTTTTTTGCATTTTATATCATGTATGAAATCAATGAATGTATTCTACATATATGATATCAGAAATAAATAATACTAAATCATATTAAATATGAGTGAGTGTGGAAACAAAGATAAAAGGAAAACTAGTTTGGTTTTTGAAGTACTGCCCTTCCGTCTCATATCAATGTTTAGTTAAGGTAACAGAAACTTCAGTTGGTATTTCAATTGGAGGAAATTTAATACAGGGTATAGTTACAAAAGTGTCAGAAGGCCTGGAGTGGCCAGAAGAGAAAAGTAAACTTCCTTGATTGGTATCTGCAGGAAGTCACCACCATCCTAGGCTAGAGGAGCAGGAGGGATATAGTGTCACCTACAGCCATGTTCCCCACCCACCTGGAGCTGCTGGAGCCCCACTGCTGCTACTGCTATTTGGAACCACTGTTGAAGCTGCCTTGCAGAAATCTCTCGCCCATTTTCCTGACAGCATGGGAACCTTGGAACCCAGAGCTACCTGCAGATGTTACCCAAGATAGAGAGCTCAGACAGCTGGGACAGATAGAGACAGGACACTGCGCTGCCAGGACAGCTGCTACTGCTGCTTTGCTAAAACCCACAAAACCTGCACTGCTGCTGGAAACTTGCTGCAGGAACCCACGGCTCTACATCACTTTTTGTGACTGCTGCTAAAGGAGTCACAGTATTAGCACCCTCAACCCTGACCACCGAAAACTTTAAAAGGGTGTGAGTGATACGATTTGGCCGTGTCCCCACTCAAATCTCATATTGAATTGTAGCTCCAATAATTTCCACGTGCTGTGGGAGGGACCCTGTAGGAGATAATGGAATCATGGGGGCCATTTCCCCCATACTGTTCTCCTGATAATGAATACCTATCACGAGATCTGATGATTTTATAAGGGGTTGCCCCTTTCGCTCGGCTCTCATTCTTTCTCGCCTGCTACCATGTAAAATGTCCCTTGCTCTTCTGCCATGATCGTGAGGTCTCTCCAGCCATAGGGAACTGTGAGTCCATTAAACCTCTTTTTCTTTATAAATTACCCAGTCTCAGGTATGTCTTTATCAGCAGCATAAAAACAGATTAATGCAGCGGGATTTTAGCTTTTTCCTTCCTTCACCTTCCAATCGCTTGCCAATGCCTGTCATTGTGAGAGTCTAATAGAAGCTAGCTGGTAAAGACATTTCTAGGCAAAATAGTTTTCAGGTGTCCAGCCCTCTCCTTTTCCTGTCATTAGTCTTTGATAATCTCCAGATTTGTTGTTGTTGTTGTTGCTGTTGACACGGAGTTTCGCTCTGTCGCCATGCTGGAGTGCAGTGGTGTGATCTCGGCTCACTGCGACTTCCACCTCCCGGGTTCAAGCGAGTCTCCTGCCTCAGCTTCCTGAGCAGCTGGGACTACAGGCATGTGCCACCACAGTCAGCTAATTTTTGTATTTTTAGTAGAGATGGAGTTTCACCATGTTGGCCAGGATGGTCTCGATCTGTTAACCTCGTGATCCACCTGCCTCGGCCTCCCAAAGCGCCAGGATTACAGCCACAAATTTTTTTTTAATGTTGTTTTCTGTTCTTTGTCTTCTACTCATTTTGAAACTAGAAAACATATTTCTGTTCTTTTAGTAATTAACCATAAAATTTGAACAGACTTTCTCATATAAATATTTTCTGGCAATGCCAAAATTTGTTTAATATCTCTATCCTCCCTGAATAAGAAGCAAAACATTGTCTTCAATGTGCTCTCTCCTTCTCCTTTGTCATTACTGCTGTCTTGAACTTTAGTTCCACATTTTTAATCTATCTTTTTACTATGGTAAATATACATGAAATAAAGTTTGCCATTTTAGCAATTTTTAGATACACAATTCAATGACGTTATTGTATTCACAATGCTGTGCAATCATTATTTCTATCTACTTTCAAAACTTATTTATCACTCCAAGCAGAAACTCTACCCATTAAGAAATAATTCCCCGTTATATCTATCCCCAGCCCCTGGTCACTTCTTATCTACTTCCTCTCTGTGTGAATTTGACCATTTTAGATATTTCATACATGGAATCATAGAATATTTGTCCTTTTGTGTCTGGCTTATTTCGCTTAGAAAAATGTTATCAAAGTTTATCTATGTTGTAGTCTGTAGAACTTCATTGCTCTTTATGGTTAATTACATTTCATTCCACATATATGCCACATTTGATTTATCCATTCATCTGTCGATGGCCATTTGGGTTGCTTGTGCCTTTGGGCTATTGTGAAGTGCTGCAACGAATACTGGCATTCATGGAGGTGTAAAATGGTTCACATTTCAGTTTTGATTTGCATTTTTCTAATAACTAATGATGTTGGGCATCTTTCATGGGCTTATTGGACATTTATGTATCTTCTTTGGAGAAATGTCTATTCAGCCCTGCCTGTTTTTAATTGGATTGTTTGCCTTTTTGTTGTAGAGTTGTAGTATTCTGGAATTCAAACACATATCAGACATATGATGTCTGTATTTTGGAATTTAGACACATCAGATATATGATTTGCAAACACTTTCTTCTATTTTGTAGGTTGTCTTTTTCCTTTTTTTAACTTTTATTTTAGTTTTAGGGGTACATGTACAGGTTTGTTGTATGAGTAAACAGGATGTCACAGGGATTTGGTGTACAAATTATTTCATCACCCAGTTAATAAGCATTATACTGAATAAGTAGTTTTTGATCTTCACCCTTTTCCCACCCTAAACCCTCAAGTAGGCCCCAGTGTCTGTTGTTCCCTTCTTTGTATCCATATGTACCCAATGTTGAGCACCCACTTATAAATGAGAATATGGTATTTGGTTTTGTGCTCCTGTGTTAGTTTGCTTTGAATAATGACCTCCAGCTCCATCCATGTTGCTGCAAAGGAAATGATCTCCTTCTTTTTGCATAGTATTCCATGGGGTATATGTGCCACATTTTCTTGTCCAGTCCACTATTGATGGGAATTTAGGTTGAGTCCACGTCCATGTCTTTGTTATTGTGGATAGTGTTGTGATGAGCATGTGCATGAACGTGAATTTTGTTGTTGTTGTTGTTTTGAGATGAAGTCTTGCTCTGTCACCCAGGCTGGAATGCAATGGCCCAATCACCCCAACCTCCACCTCCCAGGTTCAAGCAATTATCCTGCCTCAGCCTCCGGAGAGTAACTGCGACGACAGGCTGCCATGTCCAGCTAATTTTTTTTTTTTTTTTTTTTTTTTTTTTTTTTTT